CGTAAGGACCATGGTTATGTGATAGAGTAACATTGTTGAGGTTATGTGGTAGAAGCGTGTTGTGCTACTACTTGGGAAATGAAATTGTTAAAGTTAATGTATGGAGGGAGAGCTGAGAATTTTGTGTTTTGGCTTCCAATGTTGCGTTTGAATGCAAAATTTGATTTCGAAAAGAATAGTTAATGAGCAGTTGTTATAGAGTTCTTGAGAAAAAAATTAAAGTTGATCATCTATCGTTAGTATTTATGAAAATACGTTGTATAAATATATGAATGTTGCAATTTGATAATTAGAGTGATAACTAGTCTTTGTGTAAATATTTTGATTTTTTAATCGACAAAATTTGGGCTATTTTGGAAGAAGAGTGAAAACGAACAACATCTTCATTCGTGGAGCGAGAGAGAATTATTTGCAAAGCTTTAGACTTTGGCTTCAAGGGGTTCAGTGTTTGGAGAACATAGTCACCGAGGGTGGAATCGAGGTAGATCTAGCGTGTATTGAGGAATTCGAGTGTTAGAAAGTTATGATGTTTCAACATTGTTAGATAACAACAACGTGTGGGTGTTCTGGTCATTAAATTTGACTTCAAGCTATGAGGTATTAATGAAAGGGTGTTGGGGTGGCACATAAGTCTTGTTATGCTATTCATTTGAGCGCTAGTAATTGTAGAGAGACCTTCACCAATGTCATTGGTGGCCGAGTATGGAGAAAGACATGATTCACTAGGTCGAGTGGTGCTTGACTTGTCTACAAGTAAAATAGAGCATCAACGTTCGTTTAGGAAACAAGCAACCTGTGGATATTCCAGTGTGAAAATGGGACCGTTATGTCGGAGGCTTTATGGCAAATTTGCCAAGATTTTCCAAAGGGCATTGACGGGATTTGGAAAATTGTAGATTGGATTTCTAAGTTAGCTCCTCTCTTGCCAATTAAGAAGTATATTTAGCACAGAGGTTAACTCAATTATATTGTTGAGGTTATGTTGGCTTGCATTGATGGGGAATTGTTCTATCTAATGTGGCATTATCACGTGCGGCAAGTGTTTCYGCCTCATCCCCACCCCGATGGCTATAGTCGAGCAGAAATGAATCATCGCTCCAAGAGAAGCAGGCAATAGCCACTATCCCTGATTCCATGCAAGTGCTATAATCCGATTTGACTCCTCACGCTGGCACATGGGATGCCGTTATCGATTGTGTCAAATTGTAAAGGTAGGCTTATTTCTTTGTTTTGAAATAATTTTCAATGATAGTCATGATCTCAAATTAATATTGAGTTCAGTGGATTATCCCTAGGCAAATGGGTAGAGTGAGAGAATCATTCAAACCATCAAGAGTATGTGAGGGCATGTGCTTTTGATTTTATAGTGATCTACTGTTGATATAGTTTTCCTATAACAATAGTTATCATGAAAATATCCAAGTTGTTCCTATGAGTTTTTTGTGGTCGAAAATGTAGAACACCTCTGTATTGGAATGAAGTGGGACAAAGACAATTAGTGGGACATGAAATTATTTAGTTAACTAGTGTTCATATTCGAGATAGACTAAAAGTGACACAAGGCCGATAAAAGAGCCATGTAGATAAGCTACGCAAGTCGATAGAGTTTGAAATGGAAGATAAAGTAATGTTGAAGATCTCGTAGATGAAGTGTGTAGTATGTTTTGAGAAGATGGGAAAGCTAAGCCCATATCATTTTTAGAAACACTTGGGAAAAACCTTCTAATCAAAAAGCAACAAAGTGGACGCTCTTATAAAAACAAATGCTATCACTATATATGGTAGCCACCAACTTGAATTTAGACCTATATAAAGTTCATAAATCTTCTTTTATATCAATATAGAATAAGTTATCATCCTTTGACGTTGATTACTTGAAGGCTAGGAACTTTGTATCGAACACAAATGTGTTGGGTCTAAATTACATTTAGGGGTCGTTTATTAAATGCTTACCCCAGGTAATTTTTCTCAGCGGACGAACATGGCAAGATCCAAGAATCTTACCCGGTAAGAGTGATCATAAGAATAGAGAGTTTTAGTCGGTAAGTGAGCTGAGGGTAACGACAACTCTTACTCGGGTAAGTGTTTACCAAGTAAATTGTTGCATATCATTCCATTTTGTTGTATTACGATCTTATCCATGTTGAATTATGGTAAGTCTTTATGGTAAATCAAAAATATCACAATCTACTAGCAAAGGAAATATAATATTCTAAAATGTATCTCAAAATATATTCCATAATACAATCAACCCGTAATTTTTTGAAGAATCAGACATCTACATCTGCTCGAACTTAAATAATAAAAAGTTATAAACCAAACCTCTAAACTTTAAAAGTTATCAATTCATTGCAACCTTCTTACTCTAGCCCCAAATCCAATATTTTATCCCGTTACTCAACCTTAGAGAGCGACCTTTCAATCTCCAAAAGATTTTACACCTTAATCCCTCAACCAAGAAACGAAGAGATACTTGGAGTCATTGAGAAATGGATAAGCATAAAGCGGCATTAACTCACTACAACAAAATCAGGTTTATATGACACTCTCAAATTTTAAGTGTCTTAATAGACCTCTTTATAAGACTTAGTTTATAGAACAAAAAAAATAAAGTGTCCTATCTAAAGGTGTTGTAATAAGTTTATATGACGTTTTTTTGATGTCCTAATAAGTTTTTTAAAACATTTTTAATATAAAGTGTCACATTCTCAACTTTATAGGACACTATTTGAAAAATTGTCCTATAAAAACAAGTATCCTATAAAAAAATGAGTTTATAGGACACTTTCTCAAAAATGTCCTATAAAGTTGCTAATGCGACACTTTGTATTAAAAATATCCTAAAAAACTTGTTAAGACGCCCAAAAGCGTCATATAAACTTATTACAACACCTTTATATAGGACACTTTATATATTGGTCCTATAAATTAAGTCTTATAAAGAGGTCTATTAAGACACTTAGAGATTGGGGGTGTCCTATAAACTCAATTTTGTTGTAGTGACTTGTTTTTGTTGCTTGTTTAATAATTACAAGGTTCGTACTTCCTTGGAAAGTTTATCAAACAGATGTGAAGTCTACATTCCGAAATGGATTGCTTGAACAAAGAAGTATATGTGGAGCAACCAAAAGGGTATGTTGTTCAAAGACAAGAAGATAAAACTCCTAAGGATAAAGAAGGGCTTATATGGCCTAGAACAAGAACCACTAACTTAGAAAACAAGAATTAATACCATAAGGGCGGTGCCTAATTGGTTTGAGCTTGACTCAAAAGGTCAAAAGTAATAGGAGGTCCAAGTTCAAATTCAAGGAAGAATAAAAATCCCCTTGTGGCCACGGAGGTTCAAATACAGTGACTCCGAGATATTTGCAAAACAGGTGGTTGCCTTAGAATTAGTCGGCTCGCATAACGGATTGGATATCCAGGTTAATAAAAAAAACAAGAATCAACAAATACTCTCAAGAAAATGGCTTTGTCAAATGAATAATTTTCTATTAGGATTATTCTCGTCACATTTAATTTCTCTCTAGGCAATAATCAGTTAGGGTTATTTGCCGGATTTTAATATCCCCATTTTGGCTGTTTGCAAGTATTAAACAATTGAATTTTTTTTTTCTTATTAGCCTCTTATGTATGATTTGTTAAGAAGTAGGGTCATTCAGACTGTTTGTTTTTTCTAATTTTTCAGAGACATTTCAAACTTATTGCCCTCTTATCCCTCTTATTTGCCTCTTATTGTTCTCGAAATCTTTAGCAACGACGTTTCTCAATCGCTTAACCTTAATCGATCATTTCTTTCAATTAATTATTACCAAATCGATCATCACATCTCTCAGATGTTGTATTTTAATAGGATTTAAATGTGTTAAATACCGTTCATGGTGTATTTTCGTTTAAATGAATGCTAATTATATAATTTAAATATAAATTTCGTAACGATGATGAATAAGTATGTGAAATTGTATTAATTTATCTATAAATTCAACATTATAATTTTCTAAATCAGTAAAATTGACAATTTAAACAAATTCAGACAATGATCAATTTACAAAAACAATAGTCTTATTGATTCAAATTTCAAACTTTAGTACCACCTCTTATCAATCAGAAGTAAAATAAGACCTCGGACTTCAGTAGCTCTTAAAAAACAAATGTCACGTATCTGTGGTTATGATTCCACTATGAGGCAGTGAGTATGCACTTTACGTGAAGTGTTTGTTTGGAAATATGTTGCTTGGTTTTGCCTAATTTGATCCCACTTAATTTAGTAACGAGTAAAAGGATACATGTACAAACTAAGAATTTTCTTAAATGGGTATTTCCTGTGTGCGCCAAGTACAATCTGGATATCCAACCTGCTATGCAAGCCAACTAATCCAAGGGAGACTACTTACTTTGCAGATAGCCCGGAGTGATCGCATTTGAACCTCCGTGGCCACAAGAAGATTTTTATTCCTCCTTGGATTTGAAACTGAGACCTCCTGGTACTTTTGACCTTTAGAGCCAAGCTCAAACCAATCAGGCACCACCTTTGTGGTTTATCTCTAGCTAAGTGTTGAAGTCTGGTATCATATACTCTATGCAAATCAATGACCCCTTCATTTATGCTTTTGCTTTTCAGGGATCATTGCCTTGACATCTTGTTTTTAATTGCATCTAATACTGAATATGTTGAGAAATATATAGTACAATGCAGGTGTACTCAATACAAGGACTACAAATCTTCGTACCTATTAAATCACACCCTTCATATCTAGTACTTGTTTTTAACTATCGAAACTTTACATTCTGAATTCGGAAAGCATATGATCATAACAGATGCAGGTTTGAATCTTTCTATAGTATTCTGGAGCTTTGCTGCAGAATACATCTCAGCAATGGAGGTACTTATTGCATTATCTTGTTCTAGTAGAGATGTGATGATAACAATTTATTGGCCCTTAGCCAATATGTTGATTCTTGAAAAAGATCACCGTTGTCAACTTGCTTTGGAGTGCAAATTATAACCTGGTACACATGAATGACAATATCATATATCACATGCCTGAATATGTATGTATGGAATCAATCATCCAAATTTATTCATTCTATGGTGCTTACCTTAGTTTCATGGCTTGAGCTGATATGTCATTCTCCTGGGGTTGTGGCTGGCTTAGCTGGAGACTGATGGGTGCCTCATCAATGCTGAAGGAATAAGGGGAGGAATTCTTATTTGATTCATCCATGCTCCGCAATGCATAAATCTAGGTTCATGAGCTTATGAGTAGGCTTAGTTACTGAATCTCATATATAGTTGCACATCCACAGTAGAATATGAATACTATTAATATGTTGATTTGGATTACTACGAGTTACCTTCTTCTGCAATTCTGCGGTCTCTTGGTGCAGGAGGGTTATTTTCTCATGCAGTTTTTTATTTTCTTGATCAATAAGACTCCGCTGCAACAGTTATTAGTTTACATGAACTCATGAATTATCTTAGGGAACTAGTTGTACTACTTATATACCTTCTGGTTCAATTCTTTAATTTCATCCGTCAAAACTTGTTCCTGCAACAAAGTAGGTGTGCTTATCATCATTCATATACTGTTCCAGTTGATGAATTGATACAAAGAGAAATGTTGGAATGTAAGAACTTCTACCTTATTCATCCGAACCTTTTTTAGAGTAATTTCCAGTTGGGTTTCCAGCTTTTGCAGATCTTCTGCATTCAAGCTAGCAAGTTCTTCTCCTAATAGCTGCCTGTTGATGCAAACAATTAATTGTGCACTTGTTAAAAAAGTATATCCTCCTATTATCAAATGCCTACTCTTTCCCTCCCTCTTTCTCTCTCTCTCTCTCTCTCACACACACACAGTAGAGAGCATTGTAATGAAAATGTAAATAATAGAAACCAGTTTAGATTTGATGAGAAGAGATATCAAAGGTTTTCTCGATGCATGAATGCACTTTAAAAAACAAACCTTTTTGTTCTACCTGAACCATAGAAAAAGGTCCACTACTGAGGCGGACGACAAATAACTTAAGAGGGGTCAATGGCAACGGATCAGTAATTAAAATCAGGGAGTAAATAAGAATCACAATGGTAGGTAACTAGGGATGACAACGGGAATGGTGGCTTAGTAAAAGGCGATGGTTGTTAATTCGGCGTGGCAGCCGAGTAGCTATGGTTAGTGCAAATAGGCATATAACTAACTGGCCCTTGTTCTTTGTTCTAACTCCTTCTTTAGTTCTACTATCATGGAAGGTTTATCACTCTAGTTTGAGTTTTTAGATAGGGAAATAAGCATACCTGTGGCTTTGCTGCAAGTATAGTAGTTGTTGCCTCAACCGAGCTGCTTCTTGTTGCCAAAACTAGTAATGTAGAAAGAACTGTTTTGAGTATCCTTTACGAAGCATAATGATGAAGTTATGTTTGCTGAAAGCATCCTTCAGTTTTTGAAATTATCCCATATGAAGAAGATGCAAAAAATCATTGTGAAATTACCCCTTATTTTAAAACATAAGTGAGATTTGCAGCAAGGCCTAGAAGAAAACGACTAATAGATTTCCATTAGTAGTAATTAAATGGGTGAATGACCCATGGGTGGGCTACTCCAATCTTTCTACCATCCCCCCTTGTTCACCTCTCATGGAAGTCACCTTACAACTTCTTAATCATAGAGGCTTAATCCCTCTATATAGCTTTAATAACAACTTAATTGTAGATTTTATTATCTCTTATGTATGCTTTTAATTGAAACTAATTGAACACATCAAGAATGGTTGTAAAAGTTCGCTAAGAATTCCAGCCTCTACCAAGTTAGCCTAACATAGTATTCAATGTGTTCATGGTTATATATCTAGCAGGACTACGACTTTCATATTATTCCCAAATTTTCCTCTTATTATGTCGTTGGAACTCGAATAGAGAATTTGAAATTGTGTGAGAGTTCATTTTTCTTAAGTAATATTTGAAGGAAATAACATATACACAACATAAACAGGTTCTTTATTGAAGAACACTTAGAATATTACAAAGACACTTGAATCTTTGAAAACTGTTCACACAAATGAAAAACAGGGATACAAAAAACTTAAATACTAAAACACAGAAACGTTGCAACTGTTGGAGGGAACACCACTGTTCAGAAGTAGTTTTGGCGGGAAACCCATAACTGCCATCCAACTTAACAGTCAACTAACAGTCAAACTGATTTGTTGATGATTTGGCTTATAATTTAACACCCTCCCTTAAGCTAAACATCACCAACCTTCAAATCCTTCTTTAGTTTCACAAATGTGCCCTGCTGCAGTGATTTGGTAAAGATATCTGCCATTTGATCCCTTGAAGAACAAAACACTACATCAACTTCTTCATGTTGAATCAGCTCACGAATAAAATGAAATTTAATTCTTATATGTTTACTTTTGCCATGGTAAACTGGATTTCTGGTAAGAGCAATCGCAGATTTATTATCACAATAAATCGATGTTGGAAGTTCTTGTGGAAAGCTTAATTCTTCCAAAATACCTCTCAACCACAGAGCTTGACAACCAGTGGAAGAAAGAGCCATGTATTCTGCTTCTGTGGACGACAAAGCCACCACCTTTTGCTTTTTCGATTGCCATGAGATTGCCCCTGTACCCAAACAGAATATATATCCTGTTGTACTTCTACTATCTTCAAAGCATCCTCCAAAGTCACTATCACTATAACCAATTAACTTGAAAGAAGAGGAACAAGAGTAAGTGATTCCATGATCAAGCGTACCTTTTATGTATCTCAGTACCCTCTTTGCGGCTTCTAGTATCCTGATTTTGGATCCTCCATGTACCTACTAAGCATACTGACAGCATACATTATATCGGGTCTTGTTGCAGTAAGATACATAAGACAGCCAACAAGACTTCGATATAAGGTTGAATCAATCGATCTTTCACCGCTTCCTGCAGAAAGTTTTAATCTTGGTTCCATAGGAGTGGCAGCAGACAGACAATCATCCATGTTAAACCTTACTAAGAGATCCTTAGCATATTTCTTTTGTGATATCGAGATGGAATGCTTACTTTGTGAGGCCTCTATTCCCAAGAAGTAATGAAGCAGACCCAAGTCAGTCATTTCAAAATTCTTTTTCATTGACTCCTTAAACTCATAAACTAATTCTATGGAGCTCCCTGTGAACACAATATCATCTACGTAAATACATACCAGAAGTGTAGAGTAACCTTCCTTTTTGATGAATAAGGTATGTTCATGATTACATTTCTGGAACCCATGATCGAAGAAATGTCTTTCTATTCTACTATACCAAGCTCTAGCGGTTTGTTTAAGCCCATAAAGAGCTTTCTTTAAGTGGCACACCTTATGCTCTTCTCCTTTACGTTTGTAACCATCAGGTTGGTCTATGAAAATATCATCTTCCAGATATCCATTCAAAAATGCTGATTTTACGTCCATTTGGTACACAGGCCAATTGAATTGAGCAGCTATAGCCAGAATCAACCGAATAGTTTCTAATCTGATCACAGGGGCAAAAACTTCTTGATAGTTGATGCCATACTGTTGTTTATACCCTTTAACCACAAGTCTTGCCTTGTGTTTATCTATTTCACCCTTCTCATTGTATTTGGTTTTGCAGATCCATCTTACTCCAATTGTCTTTTGTCCTTTTGGTAATTCAACTATCTCCCATGTATTATTTTTGAGTATGGAATTCATCTCACTGTCCATCGCATCTCTCCACTTTTGATCTTTGTAAGTATCTTCAAACTTTAAAGGGTCTGCATCAGAAAACAAAGCAAAATTTGCTAAGAGATCTATGTTGATTGGTTGAGTACTTTCGTAGAGATCAGTCAAGCTTCTGGTTTTTCTATTTGATCCATTTGAAGAGGAGGTGCTTCCAGGAGTTGTATTTTCTAAATTGAGAGAGGAATCTCTCGTAGGTGTAGCAGGTTCGGATTCATTATGCTCAGTAGGGGTATTTTTGTCATCCTCATATGACTCATCAACTAGCGTACAACTCCCATCATTCTCATATGTCAAACCTTTCCAAGTACTTTCTTCATCAAAGGTCACATCTCTRCTTGTGATTACTTTCTTGGTCAAAGGGTTGTACAATTTGTAGGCCTTGGTATTATAGCTATACCCTACAAAGATTGCTTTTTYAGATTTGTCATCAAGCTTACTCCTTTTTTGTTTTGGTATGTGTGCATAGGCAATACTACCAAAGATTCTAAAGTGGTTGACACTAGGCTTGAAACCATTCCAAGCTTCCTGTGGGGTCTTATYAGTAAGGCTKTTTGTGTAGGATCTATTWATTAAATAAACARCACAGGATAYTGCTTCTGCCCAAAAGATATTAGGTAGTTGTTTGCCTTTTAACATGCACCTTGCCATCTCAACTATGGTTCTATTTTTTCTTTCTGCCACCCCATTCTGCTGGGGTGTGTAGGCAGTTGTAAGTTGATGGTGTATGCCATTACTCCTTAGATAATCCTCAAAATCATGACCAATATATTCACCTCCCCTGTCAGACCTTAAATTTTTAATTTTGAAATCACTCTGATTTACAACCATTGCCTTGAAGGTAAGAAAGCATGCAAATGCTTCTGACTTTTCTTTCAAGAAATATATCCAGATTCTTCTACTAAAATCATCTATGAAGGTTAAAAAATACTTACTTCCTCCAAAGGATGGGGTTTTCATGGGACCACATATATCCGTATGGACAAGTTCCAACTGTTTTGTTGCTCTCCATGTGTTGTTATGAGGAAATGATGCTCTAGATTGCTTACCCAGTGCACAGCTTTCACAGACATGAGACGAAGGACCAACTAAAGGTAAACCTTTTACAAGTTCATTTTTGTACATATGAGTCAAGGTGTTGAGGTTTACATGTCCAAACCTTTTATGCCAAAGGAGTGAAGCTTCTTTCGTACAAATAGATAAGGAGAAAAAAGTTTCATCATCAAATTTTATTGGAACCATTTTATTAGTGGTCATAACTACCCTTCCAATCACTGATTTGTTAGAGTCAGTTATCTCACATAATCCATCCTTAAAGTGTAAACCATACAGTATTTTCTCTACAATTCGTCTATCATTAATACTCTCACCATTCAGTCTCATCTGATTTACCAACACAATTACTTTCGTGTAATATTCCTCAACTGCCTCTGTCTCCTTCATCTTAAGGCTATCAAATTCGCATCTTAAGGATGGAAGTCTAACTGTTTTTACTTTCTCTTCCCCTCTGTATGATTTGAACAACAATTCCCAGGCTTCCTTGGCCGTCTGTGATAAAGATATCCTTTCAAATATGTGTTCATCTACTGCTTGATAAATCAGAAACAAAGCCTTCTTGTCCTTTTTCTTTGCTTCGTTCAGTGCACTCATCTGTGGTGCGGTTAAAGCAATAGGATTCTCGRGTACTATCAGTCCTTCTTCAATAATCTGCCATAAGTCTTGAGATTCGAACATAACTTTCATCTGGATACTCCAATGAAAGTAGTTCCTCCCATTTAACTTAGGCAGTTGAGTCTGAGATTGTAGAACATTCAGAGAACTCGATGCCATATTATGTTATGGCTCTGATACCATTTGAAGGAAATAACATATACACAACATAAACAGGTTCTTTATTGAAGAACACTTAGAATATTACAAAGACACTTGAATCTTTGAAAACTGTTCACACAAATGAAAAACAGGGATACAAAAAACTTAAATACTAAAACACAGAAACGTTGCAACTGTTGGAGGGAACACCACTGTTCAGAAGTAGTTTTGGCGGGAAACCCATAACTGCCATCCAACTTAACAGTCAACTAACAGTCAAACTGATTTGTTGATGATTTGGCTTATAATTTAACAATATTAATCCTACCCAAATATGTCTGTGTATCATGAAATTTACTCGAAAATAATCTCAAAAAACCATTCAGTATTTCTATCGACACCGTAGTCTATAAACGTAGAGAAATCATAACCAACCATATATTAAAGACGAGAATGAATATTTTATATTAATTGAAAATGATTGCTAGATTAATTTGGCCACTTATGAAATTTTAGATGTTACAACATCGGTGAAAACATATTAGCTGGTGAACATAGCTAATAACTCATTAGGCGGTGTGCATGAGCTAATAACTCATTAGTGATTAACCATGATAGCATGCCAATAGAAAACCATCAGTTGATGGGTACATCAGTTGATACCAAAGAGAGGTAAACCCAATATCTAATAGTCATCAGCTATACCTCATTAGTGGTAATCCATCAGCTGATGCACATGATGTGTTAACTCTACAACTAAAGCCACTTTCATAAGTGTTTCCAAACACTAATTAACAACCATTGATGTACACCTTACACTAAAATCCTAGTGTCAGGGGCACTGTCCTTTGGACTCTGCAAAAGGTCGTAACTCCCTTGATCTCTGCCATATGGCACCATCCATTGATCTCGGGATCTAGGTAGCTTATATGAGTGTACACATTGCACCTCCTTATTCGCATTATAACTTAACTATTAACCCACGTTCTCCTATGGATCCAATCACCGATTCTTCACTAGTGGATTTCTCTCGGTGATTTAGGTTTCCACATAAATCTTGGTATGGTCTTTTAACTCTATCTCTTTTACTTTGTGTTTGGATGCATATTTGATTTGAGAATTCGTCATGTTTATTTATATCGAGGACTTTGATTGCACATCAAGAACACACTTCTAAATTTAAGCTAGAAATCCAATCTCACCCATTTATGTAGTCTAATGGATATATGATTCAATGAATATCTCGATAAATGAACTCTGATATTCTTCTATAAATATCTAAATCATAATAAATAAACTCTCATCATTTCTATAAATGTTTGTTTTTACCTCGTGCTGTCTTCCTCTGGTTGCCCCCACCTAATACCCCTGCAGTCAATTGCCGTTCTCCTTCTCATCAACCAAAAGACAATCAACTTTTGCTAGCAAGCTAACCTCTATCTATAAGCATTTTTATCCACCCACGCACAAGATCAGATCGACTACTAGAGTTTCAGCTACTTCTCATGATGATGATTTTGATTAGCGAGATGTTCCTTTTTACTTCGATTATGCAATATACTTTGCTTGTTCTTCTCCCAAACATTCCTAGTTATTGCATTCAGACTCATGCATCTGCCGATAAAGTAAAGCACGTCCAAAGGCAAGGAAAGAAGCTATCATTCACACTACTAGAGAGTGCATAAGGGGTTTGGAGATGAGGCATCAAGCACTACGAGCGGAGCAACAAGTACTAAACTCAAAGTATTAGAAATAAAGGGTCTATTACGAGATAGATTCTTCAACTTTATGCTTAGTGAGCAAAAGAATATCATGGAACTTTCTCCATATACGAATATCCGGAGGGAGGCGTACGACTTCCTTGAGGGTAAGGTGGAGCCGGTGGGCTCTTTGCAGCATTCCTTTCAGCGAAATATCATGGAGGGGACCCTCAATTTCTTTATTCAGGATTTAAAACCCACTTGGATTTTTTATAATTTAAAAGGCAACTAGTGCTCTTTGAGGATAATGGCTAAGGCTTGTTGTCGAACGAGATGGCCTTCTTAGTAATGGTCTTACTCTAGAAAATGACTTTTTGAATAAGCTATTAAGGTTAGGAATCAACGAATGGCCACAACTCTTCTTTAAATCATCTTGGTTAATCTATGATTTCTTTCATGAATCCTCCCTTTGTGGAGATAAAGAAAGATCATTCAAACTAATGTATAAGCTGGAGAGGCTAGATCTTGCTTGAAAACAATAGAGCAGTAAGCCTGAAAGCTTTCCCGTGTAACAACCAGGACCCTGAATGAATTTAGTCGTATTGTGTCGACCCCATATCATGCATACAATAATTCCTTCCTTATCTCCATATCAATTATTCGGATGCCATATCATTGTTTACCATGAAAATCTTCTTGTTTAAGACAAATCTCTTCCCTCAGTTAGCGAGAGGCCTAGTCAATGTAGGCCCTGCACTGCCGCTCGAAGAGTGATGCCTGTGAAACACTCTAAAGTTCACTAATTTGAAAGAGGTTCTCAGAAATCCAAAGTCTGAAGTCACTTTCAGTGTCCCTCGGAATATCAATTCCAAAATCATACGAAATCACTATGGAACCTAACCTCCTAGCAGCCGTAACGAAAGCCTCATAGGGAAAGAGATTAATACAAGCAGTCGGAAGAGCAAGTCTTGCAAAAGCAACCAATCCAAGAATTGATGGATTTGGTAAAGTGGCGGTCACAACACTAGAACCAAGTTAGGTGACCTTGAAGGCATCAATTGAAGCCCTTAGTTATAAGGTCTTTGATTGTGCCCATTTCTAATTGTTTCTAGCCCTGTGCTTTCTCGTCCTTCATTTGAATTGATGGCCTAATCAGTCTACTACTGAGGTGTGGTCTTACAAAAGGCTCTGTGATTGACTTGCCATTGCCAACGTATGCCCCAAAAAGATGAGTGAATTTGGTTTGAGTGTTCATCGAGCGGGTGGATCTATATGCTTTGGGGTGGTAAGACGAGGTTAGCGCATCTGTTTGGGGTACAGAGGCCATAGGTTTGAATCTTGTCACCTTGATGTGATATTCCGCCAACAAATACTCATGAACCTCCATCGACCATTACCATTTCCTCTTACTTCTGACTCATTTTAATTAATTGGTTTCTATGGTTTGAACTAATGGTTGGGTTTGTTAAAGATCTCTTTCCTCCCTATCTTTCTTTCTCTCTCTCTCTATATATATATATGTATATGTATATATATAGAGAGAGAAAATACCTTTTACGAACCCAACCATTAGTCTAAACCATGTAAACCAATTAATTGAGATTTTTTACAAGCCCAACCATATGCTTTTTATTTGTTATGTACTCTTTTAGCACTACAAAACAAAGAGGAATCACCCACGGATTTTTTTGCCGGTAATTGCCGACGGATTTGTGGGGGACCACAAACTAAATTTCTGGTCGATGATTAAAAATGCACCGACAATCACCGGACACACTTTCTTCGACGCTCTGCTGGTGATGGATTTTTTCGGCGATTACCGACCAATTTTTCTATCAGTGAAGCCTCTTGTTTTGTAGTGTTGATGAAATACTATCTTATTCACACAACTAGGTGGTCCAAAAGTTCATAATACATCTTTTCTTATATATATATATATATATATATATGAACCTTGCCTATAAGTATATTGTATTTGCAAAAGCATAATTTCATCTATATGTTGCATTAGGTGGAGATAAAGTTTTCATTTGTAATCTTTTTGGAACACTCAACAAACTAATACACTAAATTAATATTCTTTTTGGAACACTCATAAAACTGATACACTAAATTAAGTCTCTAAAGAGACTTGATCTCATGACCTAACACTCTTAAAAAATAGGTCTCTATAAATAATACAATTTGTTTGTAAGACATCTGCCTTTCACGGCAACAAAATGGGTTTCTTAAACCGCTTACTTAACGGGACTTTAAATGTATAAGATCAATGTGGGCCTGATTTAAAAGTGTAGGAAGTTCTTAGGATAAGATTAGATGACCTAGCAAGTTTTGTCGACAAAATTGGTCAATTAATAGGATATACAGATCGTGCTAGTAACTTTATTATAGGAGACTTTTAAAAGTGTCATATGTACATAAAGTCTAATAGGATGATTCATGTTCTATGCCATATTAGGTTGTCCAACTTCGTTCATATAAGTAGTTGATTAAGTCGTCTAACTTCATCCCAACAATTTACTGTAACACGAAACATAGTTTTTGGTCTTATAAGCTTAATTAAAGTCCTATTAAGTCCATTAACCATCTATCACATCCTAGGTAGTTGCCCATATATGCTTTCTTTCCATGCATGATTTTGTCTTTCAATTCACTTTCTTTCTGCTTTCGTTTTGATTGCAATTAAGTTTTAAAATTGTTTCTGATTCTTTGATTTCAAATCTGTTCTTTTCATGCTGGATATGATTAGGCTTCAGAGTGTTGTATAATAAAAAATATTATGTAAGCTTCCTAAGTGCAGGCTTTGAAATAACATGGAAATTAATCTGTTCAGTTTATTATCGCTTCTCCTAATTTGACCAAAAACTTATGTAGCATGACTAGATGATAATTCTCTTCACGTCCATTAATCAAACTCTATTACCTCCGTCAAAATTACAACTTTAACAAAAGAAGAAAAAGAAAAAGGAAAGTACCTTGTTGGGAAATTGGTGGTCAATGATTATTTGGTTAAGATAGCTCAGCATGTGTCATTCAGTAAGCATTTATATTTATCTTTTGCTGTAATTGTACAGAATATATGAGCTTAGAATAATTATATTAACATGTTCTAACGTTTTACCAAGGTTTTTATGATTGATTTTAAATAAAAAGATATGTCATCATTGCAAAGACGCAAACTATAAACCGAATAACAGGAAAAATATATGTGCCCAAGCATATTTATATATTTTTTTTCTTTTTGAAAAGTAAAATGATAACAAGAAGATAAAGAAAGCACATTGTGTTATGTAATCACTAAATGTATATATATGCGTGTGCAAAAGTAATAGAGCTTGTAAAGACCACATTTTTTTCCTGACATATATGTTATTTTTATATTTATACTGGGTCTAAGTTCTCTTCGGTTTTTGTAAAGTAGGTTGGTGTCCTTGAATCGACCCGATTTTGACATTGAAGGGGTAGGGCATATATATTATAGGGGTAGACTAATTGGCTTATTCATATTCTTGTATAATGTTGCTTGGTAGGGCATATATGCTATAGGCGTAGACTACTTGCACCTTTCTACATTGCTAAATGCACCCCTACTTGATGATTTCTTCATCACACACATCAACATCAAAACTCGCTTTTTATATTCGTAATACATGAATTGACCCGATTTTGAAATTAAAGGAGGTGCAAATAGCAATCCCCATATTATATTAATTCATCTTCATGGCTCAAAATTTTCCTATATAGTGAAGAATGAAGCCTTCCATGCAGGTGTACCAAAGAAATTGGAGGAAAGATTATACAATAGCACCTTAACTTTTGAAGTAGGATCCAGCAGTTGATCATGTCCCTCGTTGATCACTTTGTCATATCGTTCAACTACGGTGTCCATGCTGAAAGATGCAGATAGAGACATCACTAATTTAAAAGCATCTCAGAACTTTATATATAAAGGAATGGTACTGCGATGTGAAGCAAGTTGTAATCTTCTTCTTCACTTTAAGAAGATGGCCACAGAGAAGTAGTAAGATGTCTTTGGACAAAACTAGTATGAATGTTATCTAATGAAACTAGTAAGAACTCTGCTTTACTTTGGCACAAACGTCACCAGAAATTAAGGTCTTTGGAAATTACTGGCCAGGTGACCTGTGTGGACCGGTCAATCCTTAAGACAAAGCATGGTGCCACAGAGTTGTCATAACATGTTTTGACAACTTGCATAACTAACTTCTTTTAAGATTAAGCTGACTTTTGGCATGGCAAGCACTATGGGTATCACATGGAAGGATCAGTTAATTGATACTTAAGGGTCGATTCATTAAATTTGTTTACCATTTTTTACGTGACCTAATCCATGATGTTAATAGAAAATACTATGACACCCGGCCATTGCAAAGATGATAAACAAAAGTAAACGAGATAATCAAATAGAGCTCATAATTGTAAACTTTTTGGTTTTGGTAATATGCAGCGTCTAGAGTGATTCTAGATTCCAGGCACAAGTCCTGACATGCAAAAGTGTTCAGCAATGTAAGTCACTCTTGGATTTAGGAGTGATAGAAGGTAAAATGTTTCCCAACCAATTGATCACAAGCACCCTATATATACAATTACATTGAGGAACCTAAATAAATAAAGATTCTAAATATCCACAACAAGGGGGTTTACATAAATTTATTTACAGAATATTGACTGAATATTTTATTATCACACCCCCACAGTCGAAACGGGAGAAGTGCAAACGTTGAAGCTGGATCGGAAATCTAGAAATAAAGAAGAAGGCAACCCTTTTGTAAAAATATCGTCGTATTGCGATGACGAAGTGACATGCAATACACTCACTTGACCGAGAGCAGCCTTTTCTCGTACAAAATGAATATCCATTTTAACATGTTAGTTGGTGTTGTACTAAATTAGAGAGAAGAATACAACACTAATATTATCGCAAATGACAACGTGGCTTGATGGATGGGACAATGAAGTTCAAGGAGCAAGTTACATAGCGAGGATGTTTTGGCAACAATGTTGGCACACCGTGATACTCAGCTTCCACACAAGATTTCAAAAGAGTGGGTTGTCGTTTAGAGGAACAAGAAATAAGGTTGCGTTGAGATAGACACAATATCCAATGGTAGAGTGATGAATGTCAAGCAATCCACCCCAGTCTGCATCAAAATAAGCAATTAAACTAGAAGAGGGGGAGGCCAAAAGGAACAGACCATACTGAAGAGTGCCCTGCACATAATGTACTATACGTCTAGCTTGAAAGGGGGACTCTCACGATGCATGCGTAAATAGACAGACTTGTTGCAGAACATAGCTAATGCCAGGGAAGGTGAATGTCATGTATAGGGATTGGTGATGGAAGAACCAACATTTGCGCTAAGTTTAGTCGTTGTATCAACCAGAGTGCTAACCGGCTTGCAATTGCTCATGTGAGCTCGTTGTAGGATGTCTCCGACATATTGCAGTTTGGGAGAGGAAAAGAGTAGTGTCATGAGAGAGGTGAGCTGAGATCCATAGAAAGTAGCTTAGCTCCCCAAATCGGTCATGGCAAATTCGGCATTGCGGAGGGAGATCACATATTGAAGGAAATCATTAGCGGAGGTCATGAGAATAATATCATCCACCTATAGGAAGAGAAAGGCTGTATCACCCCGGTTCTTATATATGAAAGGAGAGTTATCACATTTACTAGTCACAAATCCCATCTTGGTGATGTATGTGGCAAACTGTTGATACCAAACTCGAGGATCTTGTTTGAGACCATAGAGGGACTTTCAAAAAAGACAAACATGGCGGGGGCGCATGAAGCTACAAAACTACGAGGTTGATGCATGTACATTATTGCCTTTAACTCACCATGAAGGAATGCATTCTTGAAATCAAGTTGGTGTATTGGCTAAAAGCGATAAATGGCCAAACTAAGAACTATCTGAATGGTGGCAGGCTTGACCATCAGGCTAAATGTCTCATCAGAATCCACCCCAACTTCCTGATACTCACCATTGACAACCAACTAAGAGCCTTATGGCATTCTAGATTACTGTTAGAGCCAAACTTGTGCTTAAATGGCCACATACAATGAATGATATTAGTATCCAGGGTCGAGGGGCAAGTTCCCATGTGCCATTTTTAATTATGCTTTATGTTCCTCTTCCATCGCAACATTCTAGTTAGGGTCCTTGAGGGCAATAAAACAGGAACGAGGAAGGGGTGATATAGAAGTACAACTAAGGTTAAAGGGAACTTTGGGCTTGTGGATGCCATCGCTTGCATGAGTTGACATGATGGTGGTGGTGAGGGGGAGGGGAGACTAGGCATGACCATTGAGTGTAACTTAGGCAAAAGAGTTGGGGTAGGGGAAGGATTTTTGTTTTATTGAATAGGAATGGAGTTGGGAGTAAATAAGGTGTTTGTAAAAGGGGCACAAGATGTTTGTATAGGTGTGTGGTCATGAAAGGGGGTGAAGTGGCATTGAGTGGAAAATTTGATGGTAGGGATGAGCTCATGAGATGCTAACTGATTAAGGGAGAATGATCATTAGATGAGAGAAAGTCATAATTTGATATGGAGGTTGTATGAGGTTGGGAGAATGGAAAGGTGTGTTCGTCAAAGGTGACATTTTGGGAAGTAATAATTACATGGGAAATATTTTGCAACATAGATTTCCACGATGAGAGGTAGGGAAGTCGATGAAGAAACATAGGGTGGACCTAAGGGAGAGCTTGTGTGGTGCCTTAGCAGAGAGGTCTGGATATCATAGACATCCAAATGTCCTAAGGTTAGTATAAAAAGGAATACGTACGATAGGAGAGGGCACAACTTGGAATAGAGAAGTTAAGTGTCTTTGGTAGGAAGGATGTTGTGAAGGTACACACTCATGTGAAGGGCATAGACCTAAAATGAGAAAGGTAGGGATGCATGAGCAAGGAGGGTACAAGTGATGTCATTCGGAGTACGAAGCGTTCTTCCCGCTTTGCCATTTTGAGGGGAGTTGTGAGAGCAGGAGAATCAGAAAAGCATGCCATAAGTTCCGCATAAGGCATGGAATTGGGAGTTATCAAATTCATGTTCGTTGTCATAATAGAAATATTTGATATCACATTTAACTGTGTTTTGACATATAAGTGGAAAAGAAGAGAAACTTATTATATACTTCAGATTTATGTTTGAATGGGTAAAACGAAACAAATTGGGTGAAGTCATCTAAGATAAGTAGATAATAACGGTTTCCGCCAATGCTTGGCACAAAGGATTCCATAAATCGCTATGTATGATATCGAAAGTAACATAAGTACATGACAAAAAAGGGAAAGGGGGAGTCTTTTATGTTTTTCAATTTGGCATAAGTGAAAAAATTGAGAGCAAGGATCTTTATTACATTGAATAAACGAATATGCCTAAGAAAGCTAAAAATATTGTTGTCGAGATGTCCAAGGCGATAATGCCAAACTTGAGGTGAGTAAACAACAAGACAATTGGTAGATGACTCATGAGGTGGATAGGGAGAGACATGGTATTACGTGCCAGAACTATTGCATCTCATAGTTCCTCCCGGTGCGAATATCCTTCACAAAAAAGCCAAATGTGTCGAATTAAACAGGTACATTATTGTCGGTGGTTAACTAACGTAGAGAGACTAGGTTTATTATGATGTTCAGGGTCACAAGGACATTAGATAAAGTTAGGAGATGTATGGAAGGGGAAAGATGAGTCATGACAGAACCTTTTACTGGAATGCAGGAGCCATTACCAACACAAACAAAAGGAATAATGCTTGAATTTAAAAAGGTGTTAAGCTTATCGAGAGATAAAGCGATTGGGACGATGCCCATGTATCCATATATCATGATTTGTTGGATGGTTGGAGATTCTATGCTAAAATCATGAAACAATTTTGTAGGAATTCATGGAGCACATGTTGAGTCTTGATAGGTATCGATTGTGAAAGCTTGACCACAGGGTGGAGGCTCGAGGATGTCTGCCTTCGAGACCTAAGAGACCATTCAGGGGCAATAGGGTATGGGTAGGGTGGTAATGCCCATGGTCACCAAAAAGTAAGGTTGCTGGTGTAATGTTTAGTTTTAAGTTATAGTTGGTCGGGCTTCAAAATTATATATTTATGGAAAGTTCAGGGGTAAAAATTTGGCATTTATTGGAAAATGAGGGACCAATAGTATAATATTGATCACCTCCTTGTGTTATTTGGATTTTAGTCCAATAAGGTTTTGAGAGTGAATGTAATTCATGTGAGGGAGGGTGTGCATGTCCATACACCGTCTCAAACCCCCCCTCTGTAAATACCAAACTTACTACATATAGTAAGTACTTAATGGTACTGGAATAGGTTTGGTTTTTGGGTGAAAAACTTTAGGAAACTTGTTTATCAAAGGGAAGAAAGCAGAGCATTCATTAAGGTCTTGGTAAATATGAGTTATTATGTTTCATGTAAATTACCTAATTCATGATATTAGATGGCGTATTGGCATCAAACTAAACATTATACCAAGACTGTTACTAATTTTCATTGCACAAAGCCATGTCGGATAAGGTCTCTTCATCGCTCATAGTGTTGTTCGGATTGGATCTTCATCGCTCATAGTGTTTTCCGGATTGGACCTTCATCACTCAAAGTGTTGACAGGATATGGGTCCTCATTGATCACAATGTTGTCCAGATAAGGGTATTCATTGCTCAGGGTAGTATCCGGATGGGAATGTTTATCGCTCATTATAGCTCAGTGTTTCCATATCACGGTGTTTCGAATTTTAACCAATAAACTTGCTTATGACGCTAGATGGCGGTGTAACCGCGATAAATGGCAGTGTAACCGCGCTGAATGTTTAATAATTATATCATTTAAAATCAGGTCTGAACTTTATTAAAGTATTATAGATTTTATTTACAGGAGGAAATTCACTCACTAGACCTTCCGGTCTAACCCTCAGTTGTTGCGATAATTTATTTTGTAGGTCATCCAACGTTGAAGGATAAGAAGATGTAACTGAATCGTGAAAGAAAGTTTTTATTATGAAGAATTTTTGAGTTCAGACTTTTTTGTTTTTATGTATGAACAATACTGAAATGTTTGTAAATATTGGAACCTGATATATGCTACAACATGTGTTTAGATTATTAGTACATATTAGTACTTTGGTAGGTTTTTACACTGGTAAAGGTAGGGAGACTGTGCATGTTGCTGGCTACATCCACCTTGCTCTTGTGGCTATCCCCCAGGGCTGCCATGACCATGGTTGTTCCTCCCTTTGTTTCTGTTGGAATTACATGTGATGTTTTGTGAAGATAGGCAAGTGGCAGAAGCACACGGTAGCTGTGAAGCAGGAGACACAAGAGTCGTTGTCTCAGAATGACGGTTGCAAAGACATTCTTCTTGAAGGAGCATGCTACAGGAAGTAAGGAAAGAGTGTAGAGGTGTCTGGTGGCTAAAGATACTGCCCATGGTATCATAAAAATCGTCGGTAAGACTATTGAATAGCTGAAGCACTAGCCGTTGTTATGACATTGTTTGATCAACATCACCCTATTGCTTTAACAACATTTTGAGGTGTTTGAAATATGCAGAAACAAAAGAGAAGTTTGACAACTCTATGTCGTATGAAACTCCAAGTCAGCATGCACTCTTGTTGTCATGGAACATGTCTTTGAGGCTAATCCAACCATCCTGAGCGGTCGTACCCAGTTTGAGAATTATGAGAATAAGATCTTCCGAGATTGTGCCATATATCCAAGAGAGAACAAGGGATCTAACTGATCCCATTTAGATTTGGAGATAATAAGGTCAAGATTGGTGCCATCAATGTGGTCAAGTACACAGTGGGTCGAGCACAATTGGAAAAGGGGCCCACGAATGGTACTGGACTTTGGTAGGTTCCAACGTGAGGGGGATATGCGTACATATGTTAATCACGGTCTGAGCAGGGTGGATCAAATAGGGAGGGGGAGGGGTATCTTTCTGGGGGGCTGGCATGATGAATATTTTGATTATCATGGCGCACAAAATGATGCATAATCTCGTAATTTGTATATGTTTATCTATCATCGAACTGAAGCTACAAAGCAACAACTTAGAAGCCCCTTTTGTCTAATTCCTTTATTTAATTGGGAGCAACTCAAAGCAAACATGTATTAGGCAAACTTCACTAGGGTATATAAATTTTTGAAACATCAGTTAATTAGTCTTATCATGTAACTTTAGAATAATATTATACATTGCATTTTTTTTATTGTATTACAATTCTTGTATTCTTTCTTATCACTACTAGAAAAGGCAGTATTACCGATGGAAGTAATTCATTGGTAATTTCCAACGATTTTGCTGTCAAACAATCTAACAAAATTGGGTTTATGGGATGACAAATATGTTTAAATATCTTTATAGAATGTTGCATATAGGACAAATTAAACAACTGTACATTCTATGTAGAAGTGTTACAATAGGTCGATCAATAGAATGTTTTTTTGGCGTCCTAACAAGTTTTTAGGACACTTTTGAGATAAAACCCTGATAGTATTTTTATATGCCATTATTTAGAAAATGTATTATAAAACAATGTTCTATAAAAAGATGTGTTCAAAATTATCTTATAGAAAAACTAATACGACACTTTATTTTAAAAAACAATAAATTTTTTTAGAAAACCCAAAAATATCATATCAACTTGTTATAACTATGACTTACAATTGTTTGGTCTTATAAATTTATGTCTTATAAATCAATTTATTAGGATATTTAGACATATATGTATTTTGCGTCTTATAAAACCAATTTTGTTGTAATATAAATATCAGTGGCAAAGCTTTAACCAATAAAAAAGGGTTAGTAGCGAACACATTTGTGTTGATAATCTATCGGTAATTTCCTATGGATTACCCACGATTTTGAATTCCGCCGGTATATATCATATATTTTAACTTAATTTATAACGTTTGTCTGTATTTCATTACTGAACTATAAACTCCACTGATGGATCACCGACCGATATTTAATAAAAATAACTTTTACCAATGAAAATATTTGTGCGTAATCTGTCCGAAAAGGTATTTGTCTCTAATGTTCTCTCGGAAATCTGTTGTTAATTTGTCAATTTATTAATAGTTTATTGTGATTTATTTTTCAAAACTATATAAAACTACTCTAGTACAGTGACTACTCGGTAGAGGTGGCAATGGGTCAGGTTGGGTTGAGTTCGGGTTCAAACCATTTATGCAATGGATTTTTCGTCGGTAATAGGACGGTATGTCCACAGTACCCACGGTCGGAAATCTTCCGTCAGTAATGGTCTACTTCCAAGTAGTGACTAGATTTCTTCTTATGTTGTCACTATACGTGCTAGTTACCTTAATCCACTTACTATGCTCCTCTGATAGAAAAGAAGTGTTGCCATTGATGTATTTTTTTCACTATTAGACCAAGGAGAGGAAGAAAGCTTGTACGACTCCGACTATATATAGATTCTGTGAAAATTTAACAACGTTCAACTCTTTAATCTCTCCCTTCTCTACCTCGCTTATGCATATTTCGTTCGTGCCTTTCTATTTTGTAAACAGAAGTCAATGAAGACGAAAAGCATTTCGAACTTAATTTGTTGATAGTATTTTAATTTATAAAGATCATAGTGCATAGAATAACACATAAAAAGGGCTAAGATCTTGCTAATTAATAATCTAGAAACTGTTATTAAGTGCCCAGAAAACATTACTCATGTTCCTAGCTCACTATACATCTCCTTCCCTATTTCGAAAGAATCTAAAACAAACAACTTCTGGGAATTGCCAGAAATTCAAACTTCAGTCACACGCCTTGTTGTTCGTAATTTGTTGTAATTAATGAACTACATACGGCACGATATCTTGTTCTTTGTTTATTCAATTTAGATCTTTAAAGATGGTTCTAACACTCCCAGCTATATAATAACAAGACTCTAACTAATTTATTGAAAAGATAATTAAGCATTTGATTAATTCAATGAAGGCATAGCAAATAATTTATAGGATTGAGATGAAGAAATCAACAAGTATATATGTATATGAAAGGTGACTGAACCTTGAGCTAGCATATTCATGGAGCTTCCCAGTACTAGAGAAGATGAGGAGCGCAACTTCGGCATCGCAAAGGATCGCCAACTCCTTCGCTTTCTTCAACAATCCAGTCTTTCTTTTCGAGAAAGTCACTTGCCTGCTACTTATGTTATCAATCCTCTTAATCTCAATCTTTCCCCTCCCCATACCTCTCTCTATATATATATATGTATATAAACACCAGGGTTGTCTTAATCTGAAACAGCACAAGAAAATTAAGTGATCAATTAAGATCATCTAATCATAGAAACTAGTATAAAATACATACAGATTGATATATATAACACTTCTAGCAGCTAGGGTTTCCAGAATTAGAAGTTAACTATATACACTTGTAGCTTGGATCAATGGTTAAATGTCTATAAATCATAAACATTTAAGGTAAAAATGAGGAATGAAGAAAAGCAAAGATCAGAAATAGAAAGCTTACCAATTTGAGCTTTATCAAGACCAAGAGAGGAAAGAGGTTTAGAGTTCTTATTCTGGAAATGTTTCTTATACAGCTGTTTTCTATTTCTTTTATTTATTTTTAATTAAAAACTAAATTGTTTCATTAAAAAAAATAGGTTTTTTTTAGATTTAAAATAAAAATAAGCATATTTATAATTTTGGATGCTAACTGATTCTTATTTTATATTATTTTGTGCATTAATATATTCATAAATTACTGTTTAAAAAGTAAAATACAAGGTTTTTTTAATAAAAAAGGAAGCGGTTTTGACCAAAAGCCACAAGAAAACATGGGCAGATATAGTGGTATTCACAGTTGAGATCCAATTCACTGGTTGCGAGAGTAGGAGTAGGTAAGCACACCCGCGACCATTATGTGACGTCTGTCAGTTGAACAATCACCTGCCGTTGGATTCCTTAAACATAACGAAAGGTACGTACGTACGTAGGGCAGCCAAAACCTTGTCGGCTACCAAAATAGAGGTCGTACTCCTTGTACCACTTCTTTTTTCTTCCTAAACTGCATATTTGGTCCTTGTAGTTTGTTAAAAATAACATTTTTTGTCGTAAAAGTTTTATAAATTACAAGACTGTCATCATCGTGTACAAAAATGTTTGCATTTGGTTCGTTCATCTAATGGTGCATGGTTAAAAGATTTTGTTAAATCGTTTATTGATCTTTTTGTCTTTGTTCCGATCCCCTTTTTTTTTTCCCAAGACTGCCCTTCCCCTCTTATGTTGATTCGTCGTTAGCTTCTGATGCTGGTAACCGAACCATTAATAGTCACGAGAAAAAAAGTTGTTGGTGAATCCATCTTCATAGTCGCAGTTGCAAATGAAACTGATCATCTTCTCTGTCTCTTTCTCTTTGTCCCTCTTTATTCAATTCATCTTTCCATCTCTGTCGTTCTTCTCATGAAATCAATTAAAACCTTCAAATCTAGGGTTTCTTCTCCGATCTTGAAGAACCTGAGGTCACTGCCATGATCCTCAACTTTTTGATGATTGCTTCTCCTACAGTCAATCCTTGAGTGATCATCAATAGCTCATCTATCACCAACGTCATTGCCACCATAGTGAGCTCAATTAGACGATCTCGGAGGAGTTGGGCCAACTCCATGAGATTCATAGGAGGTTGTCGACTTAGAAGCGAATATGAGTAGGTTGATACTCTCTTCCAAGCGGGACAACAAACTTTGATTTTATTACTACCATTTATTCTCCTCATCTCCCGCCTTTAAAGTTTGCTTCTGCTTCCCCAGCCCCGAGTTGGTCATCATCGGGCAGTGTGTTGGAAAATCTAGTAATTTTGTTGATCAGTTCATAGTTGGAAAACTTTGTGAGTTGTTGTACTCAGGGCTTCTTAAATTGACCGGAAAATATCACATTCTAGCTTGTTTGGTTGTTAAGAGAATCATGGTTCTAAATTGGTTCATCTCAAATGGATTTTGGCCTTTTAGTCTGTTGTGTGTTTTGGTTGTTAAGTAAACAAAAAACGAGTAAACAATCAAGTTATTGTTAAATGCGTGAAATTAAGAATTGTTCAAAAACTAATATGTTGAATTTGATTGATTTGTTTTTGTTTAATCAAACACTTGAGCATATAACATTATGGTTGTTCGAATTAATATGAGATGTTGTTTTCAACTAGTAATGTTGAGTATGTAGTTATATTTGTAAGGTAATTGTTTTATTCAAATATTTACCAAACAATTATATTTAATTCATAATTAAATCATCCAGAGGGTTAAAATGGTAATTTGTTGTTATTCATAATAGTTACCAAACAACAATAATTCATTTTTCACTAAATCATACAAAGTTTATTAAACATTCTGATCACTTAACAATTCTTCATCAAATCATTTAGCAACTGTTGAACAACCTCTAGCTTATTCACAATTTTCATTAATAAGTATTGAGAGGCAAACATGTTTGTTCTTTAAACATTAAATCAGATTATGTTTCAGCATTAAAATGTTGTTATAGATTAATTATGTATAAGTTAACTAGTAAAATAATTCCCATGTATCTCAATTATAAGTTAACTGTGTATAAGTTACCGACAGTAAAATAACTCCCACGTACCCCAATTTAGTTATCGAAGTGCAATATTTTGATAGGACCATGGTTTCAAGAATTCATCTAAATTAAGGTGGGTGCTTAATTAATAAGTAACTAGTGTTCGACATCGCACGTTGCGTCTTGATCAAAACTCAATTTAAGAAAAAATGTAAAAGGTTCGACCTATGCAAAAGTGCGATGTGTCTGAAAACTCAGGATCATATTTATATTTATAACGTCCCGTCCAACACCGTAAATCACGATTTAGAGAATACTAACACCATATGAAAGTACGTCATTAAGTCAACACTTTCATTCTATGTATATATAAATAATATAGTACACTTAAACTACATTTGTTACTATATGTACTGCAGTAATCACAACTCTTATTAAATATATATATATATATATATATATATATCATTTGCATTTGTTTTGCACAAATATTTTTACTAATCGGTTGGTTTTGATTTCAACCATAGTTATAGATTTCAAAGCTCCATCACGTTTTTATACATCCATCATCTTCTTCCAAACTATCATCTTTCTACTACTGTGGGACAATCAATAATTCATCATAATTCACCATTTGGTAAATATTTGATTTTCATTGTGTCATGTTATCATCTTAAGGTTTTTCACTTTTGTTATCAATGTGGGACAATCAAGAATTCACCGCATTTCATCTTTTGATAAATACTTGATTCTCTTTTTGTATGTCGTCATCTTAAAGTTTTCCTTTATATATACATATATATGTTGACGATTGATATCTTAATTCCAGTTTTTCATTTTTGTAATCAATGTGTTACAAACAAGAATTCACCACAATTCACCATTTGATAAATACTTGATTCTCATTGTGTCATATCATCATCTTAAAGTTTTAAAAATGAAATATTTAACTATTATATTAAATATTTAATTATTACATGAAATATTTTGTAATGTAAATAAAAAATAACTATTTAACCCAAAATTTGATCAAATTTGAATATACATTCAAGCTATATCTTTTCCTTTATATAATCACTTGTATTTCCAACTTTTCACTTTTGTTTCCAATGTGGAACAATCAAGAATTCACCACAATTCACCATTTGATAAATACTTAGATTCTCATTGTGTCATGTCATCAACCTTGGTTCTTCCTTTAATATATATATATATATATATATATATATATATATATATATATATATATATATATATAGAAAGAGAGAGAGAGATTATCTATAATTGATACTTTTTTGTACAACTTAAAAAAAATATGTGTATGTATGTGTTTATTCCGATATTAGAAAATAAACTTGCTCCTATTCTGATTTTATTTCTATCGACCTCTTCCTGTATGAGGTCAACATGAAATCTTATATTTTAGTACTTTAAAATTCTTAAACTTGGTATAAAATTATCTATTGAGTTTGTTTTATTTGTTCAACTAGTGCTAATTATTTGTAAGTTTCTTTGTTTTAATGTACGTTATGTTTTGCTTTTGCCTGCCTTTGTATGTTCGATCTTAATTCTTTTGGTCTCGATTCCTTCTACTCGTACGTAGAAGAATTATGTTTGCCTTTGCAGTTGGGTGTTATATGTGATATGTACTCGATTTATTTTATGTATACCTAGATCAGTTGTGACATCTATCTATGATATTTAAGATTCTGACACCGTATATATGGAAGGTGTTTTTATTTTATTTATTATTTTTTAACCATATTTTCTTTTAATAAATCTATAAAACATACATGTTAAAATTCGATACAAAATATAAATTAATTATTATATATATTGTTTTCTAATTTTGTTTTTTGTTTTTTTCGTTTCTTTCAGATTTTTATAAAAGTTCTTGTATTAATAGGTTTAATTTTTTTATTATCTCCATTATATTATTTTGTTAAACAGGTAAATAATTCAACACAAATTTTTTAAGGTTCTAACCATGAATTCCAAGATTATCTTCAACGAAATTCTAACATATGCTAAAATGAAGTTTATCATCATTCGTCAACTTCACTCCAACTTGGTTGAACGTATTTGGTTGAATCGAGATTACAAGCGATCTATATTACTATTTATTATGTACTGTTATTTTTATAAAGATTAATATTTATGTGTTTTTGTATTTTTTTAATTGTAGTATAAAATTATGTTTGTGTTTTAATTATTTTTCAAATAAGTTAAAGATAATATACAAATTACAAATTAAAATTAATATAAAAAAGTGAAAATTAATAAATTATATATTTAAATTCAATATATATATATATATATATATATATCAATCTATAAATAAAACTAGATTATATATTAAAAAAAATGAAAAGTGTATTATGGAGTTTTATTTGGTTTGTTACTTTGTTATGTGACAATGATGTGGTAGACAGAAAAAAATGATGAATGAGGTTTTTAAATATTCAAACTATTATAGATTCTCTTAGTTTTAAAAAATATTAAAGTCTGAATTATTATTTCACTTCTGATTTATAAGAGGTGGTGTTAAAGTCTAAAATCTGAAATCCACATCAATAAAATTGTTTGTTTTTGTAAACGTCGAAATTTGTTTAAATTGTCTATTTTATCTGTTCAAAATTATAGTGTTGAATTTATTAATAAATTTATACAATTTCACATATCT